TCTATTTTCACATTCACTGACGTTTTCTTCTGTCGTCCCCAATTTGTTGTTAATCCCATTCAGTTATTTTTTTAAAATTATGGATATTGTTCTTTTCTGTCTTAGAATATTCACGTAGTTCTTTTTTTTTACTTTCTATTTCTCTGTTGAGTCTTTTTTTTAAATTCATTATGACTATATTTTTCCTCTATGTCTTTGAACATGTTTAGATAGTTATTAAAGTTTTTGTTTGCTAATTCCAACATTCATGTCATCTTAAGTTTCTTTTCTACTTACTGATTTTTCTCTGGTCTATGACCCACATTTGCTTATTTCTTTGCATTGTAATAACTTTTTAGTGTATACTGGACATTAAATATATTACGTTATAGGGAGTCTGCATTATGTTGTCATTCTTTTTTAAACAAAACTTTTATTTGGGAATAATTTCAGATTTATGGAAAAGTTTCAAAGATAGTATAGAGCATTCCTTCATACCCTCCATCCCATTTCCCTAATGGGAATTGGGAAATTAAATAATTTCTTAACATCTTAAATAATCATGGTACATTTGTGAAACCTAAGAAATAAACACTGCTATATTATTACTAGCTAAACTCCAGGTTTTCCTTGAATTTCGCTGGTTTCCCATTAATGTGCATTTTCTGTCCCAGGATCTGATGCAGGATACCACCTTGCATTTAGTCTTTGTATTTCCTTAGTCTTCTCTGGTCTGTGATACTTTGTCAGTATTTCCTTGTTTTTCTGACCTTGATATGTTTGAAGAGTACTGATTAGTTATTTAGGAGAATATCTCTCAATTTGAAGTTATCTGTTTTTTTTTCTCACATATAAACTGAGGTTATGGGTTTTGGTGAAATATTGGGGGTACATGATAACAACGAGACTTATCAGTGGTGGTTCACATGTTTAACTCTGTTCATGGGGTTGAGGTTGTGTTTTCGAGGTTTCTTCACTGTAAAGTTACTGTTTTCCCCTATCCATACATTATTCTTTGGAAGTAAGTCATTAAGGCTTGTTAATGTGTGATGAGAGGAGAATTAAGTTGCACATCATGAGGGGGGAATACTGCATATCTTAGGTGGAATTTCTGTAAGGAAGATTTATAAATTATCCCTCATTTATTTATTTATTCAATCATTTATTTAAATGAGTATGGATTCAGAGGAGTGACATCACCATGATGGCAGAGGAGGAGACCCTGGCCGCCATCCCCCCACAAAGAACAACTACATAGCTATCCACAAATGAAAATAGCTCTGGGAGATCTCAGGAGTTCACTTAAGAAGCGTCAGCAACACAGTAGAGCAAAAAACTTGCGAATAACCACACAAAAACGGTAGGAAGAGCAGTTTCATTTTGCCCACATCATTCCATTTTGTACGTATATATAGTCAACTAATTTCTGACAAGGGCATCAAGAGTATATGATGGGGAAGGGATAGTCTCTTAAATAAGTGATGTTAGGAAAATCGGATATCCACATGCGAAAGAATGAAATTGGACCCTTTTCTTACACCATGCACAAAAACAACCCAAAATGAATTAAAGACTTAAAAGTAAGACCACAAATTGTAAAACTCCTGGTAGAAAATATGTGGAAAAACCTCCTTGACATTGGTCTTGGCAATGATGTTTTGGAATGTACATAAAAAGCTCAGGCAACAAAAGCAACAAATAAAGAAGTGAGACTATATCAAATTAAACAGTTTCTGCACAGCAAAAGAAACAATCAACAAAATGAATGGGAATGCAAATTGGTATAGCCACTATGGAAAACAGTATGGAGGCCCCTCAAAAAATTAAAAATTGAAAATGAAAGAACAAAAATGTTCTTGCAATCCTACTTCTGGGTATATATCCAAAGGAAATAAAATCCCTATTTCATAGAGATATCTGCACTGCCATGTTCATTGCAGCATTATTTCTAGTAATATATATATAGAGAGAGAGCTCGATAGATCGATCGATCTATCTATTTATCTATCTATCTATAATAAAAAGTGGAAATCCTGCCATTTACAACCAGGACATTATCTAAGTGAAATAAGACAGACACAGAAGGACATATTTCACATGATTTCACTATGTGGAATAAAAAAAAAAGTCAAACTCATAGTAACAGAGAATAGAAAGGTCGTTACCAGAGGCTAGTGGGTGGAGGAAAAGGGCAGATGTTGATCAAATGATATATACTTTCGATTATAAGATGAATACATTCTGGAGACCTAATGCACAGCATGGTGATTATATTTAATAATTATCATATACTTGAAATTTGCTAAGAGAGTAGATTTCAAATCTTCTCACTACACATACAAAATAGTAAATACTGGAAGTGATGGTTATGTTAATTAGTTTGAGTGTGGTAATCATTTCACAGTGTATACTTATATCAAAACTTTATGTTGTACATCTTAAATATATTTTTTGTCAAAAATAAACAAATAAAAATGATTCAGTATGGATTCATAGATTTTTTTAAAATTCCTGGGTTATAATCCAGTACTATTATTTATTTTGTTGCTCTAATTGTTTAATTTATGGCCATTAGGAGCATTTTCAGGTTGGTTCCTGTGCCCTCCTGAAGTGCTCTCATGTGTTTTTGGTTTTGTTTTTGAGTACTTCCTTATTTTCTAGCACTAAGAGATTAAAAGGTGCTTCCAGGCTCATCTTGCACTTTTCCTCCCCGGCCCTAGAATTAGTCATTTCCTTGAGGAGCACTGATTCCTATGTTGCCTTCCTTTTTTTTTTCTTTTTTAAAACATCTTAACCATTTTTAGGTGTACAGTTCAGTGGTGTCAACTATTGTAATGGACTAAATATTTGTGTCCCCTCCCACCCTGACTTCCTATGTTGAAGCCCTAATCTCTAGTTTTGCTGTACTTTGAGATGGGGCCTCTAAGGAAGTAATTAAAGTTAAATGAAGTCATGGTGGTTGGGCCCTGATCTAATGGGATTAGTGTCCTTATAAGAAGAGATACCCAAGAGCTTGGTTGCTCTACCTCTTCCTGCACCCACGCACTAGGGAAAGGCCTTGTGAGACCAGAGTGAGAAGGCGGCTACTGCAACCCAAGGGGAGAGTTCTCATGAGACACCAATCCTGCAGGCGCCTTAATCTTGGACTTCCAGTGTTTCTGTTGTTTAAGCCACCCAGTCTATGGTATTTTCTTATGGCAGCCTAAGCAGACTAATGCAAGTATGGTCACATTTTCATTCGACCAATCTCCAGAAGTTGTTCATCTTGTAAAATTGAAACTCTATAACCCTTAAACAACTCCCCATTTTTCTCTCTCCCCAGCCTCTGGCAGCCACTATTCTATTTTCTGTTTCTGTGAATTTGACTACGTTAGATACCTTATGTAAGTGGAATCATAGAGTATTTGTCTTGTTGTAATGAGCTTATTTCATTTAGCATAATGTCTTCAAGGTTCATCCATGTGGTAGAATGTGACAGGATTTCCTTCCTTTTTAAGGCTGGATAATGTTCCATTGTAGGAATAGAACACATTTCGTTTATGTTGTCTTCCTTTTAAGGGCATCAAAATTTGTTCTCATAGGCTGCTAACTTACTGGTGGATCTTTTTTTTTTTTGTCAAACTTTGTTTCGTTTCTTTGTTCAAGCTGGTCAGCACTGCACCACCTCTGATCTCACTATTCAGCTGTCAGCCCTGCTGGGGCCACCTCAGCTAGGATGTGCAGAATCATGTCCTCTGTCTGTGCAGCCTAGCTCTTAGCCAGAGACCTATAGGGAATTCCCATGCAGTCTTCTGAACATCTCTCTCTGTGCAGCTCCCTCTTGTCACTTACCCTGCCCTGCAAATTCTAGCCACATAAGCAGCTTAAAACGTGGCTCTCTGCCTCCTCAGCTTAAGGAGACTGCTGCTCTGTTCAGGATTCATTGTGCCAGAAAGTGGCCCTAGGAAGAACACCAGGGTGATTGTAGCGCTCAGCTTTGAGTGTTCTGTTCTCTCAAGGATCACAGTGCTGTCTGTCTTTCTGTGCCTGAAAACAGTCCCCTCCTGTATTTTGTCATGTATAGTTTTTGGCTGGAGGTCAAAGTATCACTCTGCCGTGGCTGAAAACAGGACTTTATTAGTTTTTATTAATATGCTCTGCCTGTTTCTCTTCTATCTTTATACATTCTATTTTAGTGAACTTATCTGTTCTTAGAGTTTCAATTCCCTTTCTGTGTTCCTTACTTTAATTTTTTATTAACTTTTCTCCTATTAGAAATAAATTGCTAACACTTTAGTATGTACTTATTTCATTTGTTCCCCTTTATAGTTGTCTTTAAAAACAAGAGAATGAGGAGAGAACATGTATTGGACTTTCTGACACTGTGAAGGGTAAAGATTAGAGCACAGCTGGGAGAATGTTTGGGGGAACACAGGGATACAGCATATTCACAAAACATAGATCTGGGCAGTAGTTCATTTCTCCCATGATGCAAGGCACATGCAGCTGATAATCCATTTCTCTATCATGTATCACTACCCAAAAGGTCCAAGAAACAATGAAATCAGTCCCATTTTATGTGCATCTATTTTCTCAAAAAGAAACAAAGCAAATACAAAATCTGAGATAAATTCATAGCTAGGAACCACTCTCATTTTTATTCCGGTTTCCATAATTGAAATTGCTGGACTGAAGAGCAAATTTCCTTTCTCAATAGAATTAGGTGAGATGGGGAATCAATTTAATACGTATTTAATGAACATCTAGAGAATGTGATGAAGCAAAAAAAAATCACAATTTAGAATATTAATTTCTATAGGCAGTCCCAGAATTTGAATCATTTCCTGGAAGGTTGCTTCTGTTTTTGTCATGTTGGACCATTTTTTTTCAAACAAACCTTCAAGTTTCCTGCTAGCAGTTTAGAGATTGGGGTGTTTCCTGACTGACGCATGTCTCCTCACACTTCTATAATTTTACTCTTTTAACTGAACGTGAAAGATTTTAGATGGAAATGACTGACCATGCTATTTATTCCGTATTAGAGTTGTCTACTGAACGCCAAGCCCAGAATGACTCCAGACCACAGCCAAAAGGTGAGTTAACCAAGTTAGTATGGAAAACTGTGCATAGTGACCATAGGCTAAGGGATGAATGGGAGGTAGAATGAATTTGGTGTATAGGATGTAGAAAAATTGAGGGTAATTTGAGGAAATACTTGTGGTTCAGTTTAAAGTCTAGAGTTGGAGTATGAAAATTTGGTATATGGTGGAGGATCTGATCTTAGGTCTCAGGTAGATTCTTTTCTAACCATTTACCTCTATGATCTTATCTACGAAACCCAATCTAGGGCAATTCTGTTATTCTTTATTGCTCCTGAACTAAAGCAAGAACTTTGTTGGGAGAACTTTATCTCTTTAGTAATGCTTGGAGTAAACTCCTGCAAGTTACGTAAGCTCCATACGCTTTCTCTCTTTTTGCTACATAGCCTTATTATTATAATTTTTGGTTTCATTCTTTGAAAGCATTGCTATATAATTTGCTAAATCATTCCAGTGTACTTTGACATTTAGATTTATTTCTATTACTATAAATTATACAGCATTGGGAATTTTTATTTGTATATATTTTTCTTTCTTTTGGATTATATCTGTGCTAATTTTTAAGGAATAGAATTATTAAGTCAAAAGGAATGTACTTTTTTTTTTTTTAGGAAGATTGGCCTTGAGCTAACATCCAGGCCCATCTTCCTCTACTTTATATATGAGATGTCTGTCAAAGCATGGTTTGGTAAACATAGACCTGTGCCCCAGATCTGAACCGGCTAACCCTGGGGCACCTAAGCAGAGTGCACGACCTTAACCACTATGCAATAGGGCCAGCCCCATGAATGTACATTTTAAAGTATAAGTGCAAGGTCACACAACTGGAACTTGAGTATCATTATTTTGATTTCTAGGCAAGTGGCTTTTTGTTTATGTACAGTACATATTACACATTTTTTTATTCATTCTTACTCTAGGATGCTCTATTTGAGAATGGGGAAATGGATTGGAAACTTTAAAATGATATTAAAAATCTTTTTCAAAAGTATTACATGTTCATTATAGAAAATAGGGAAACTGTGAGAGCGGATATAAGAAAATAAAAATCACTAGTAATTTTACAACATGGCGATCATCAGCATCACTGTTTTTGTACATTTTTGCCTTTCTATGCTGACTCTACTGTATGTACACCACTAAGTGGCTTTTAGTATGTATATTTTTTAAGTAAATTAAAAACATTTAAAAAAATTTAACTTAATTGTTTGAATCAGATTGTCATTACACAAATACAATTATGTTTTGATACCTGTTTTCATTTTGCATATCTAAATCAACATTCATTTCATTAAATATTCTTCTATAGTATATATGTATTTTATGATGTCACTAGAAACCTAGTGTTTTTGAATTTATCAGTCCAAATATTTATCATGCAGAACTCTCTCATTTTAAAGGTATTTCTCACTATGAATTTCTTTCGAGAAGTTCAGAATGCGTCATAGATACCCGCACATATCTACAGGATGATTTATGTAAAATTTAAATAGGAAAGTGAGGCCCAAAGAGACAGAATCAATTTTCCAATTTCCAGATTAAAGATTACCAAATAAAGGATTAAAAATTAGAACTTAAATATCTTAGTTTACAGAGTTTTGCTCTTCACACATAACTCCTATGCTATCGGGGTATGAGACTGCTATGATTTGGAAATAAACATTTGGGTAAAAAAAAAATTTCCATTTTCCAAATAAAAAAAGTAGCATTCTTAGTTGTAGGTTTATGCAACGGAGTTAATATGAAGTAGTGTCCCATCCATAAACAATGGTATCAACCTAAACTCATTACTCTTCCAATAGTGACAGTTTACAAAGCACTTCTGAGATGTAGGTTATTTTATTTTCCTTTAAACTATATTTATTTAAATTTTGAATAGATTATATATCACATGGCTCAAAATTCAAAAGATACAAAAGAAAATAACTTAAAAAGTCTTCCTCCTCTCTCTGTCCCCATTGATTTATTTCCCCTCTGCAGAGTCAAACAGTGTTATCAGATTCTTGTGTATAGCATACGTTGTTCTGTAGAATGTTTTTTCCTTTAACTATATGTCTTGAAAGTACCTCAATATCTGTAAAAAAAGCATTTTTTTGGTTTTTTTCCCAACCTTTGTTAGAAGCTGCATATTCACTTTATGTATATATCAGAATGTATTTGATTGGTTTTTTATTGATGGACATTTAGGTTGAATTCAGTCTTTTCCTCCTACAAATATTGTTGCCATGAACAGCCTTATAAACACAACATTTTATACATATGTGAATATCTGTAGGAAACTTTTCAAAGGGAAACTCTGAGTCAAAGGGTAAATGCCTTTGCAATTTTGGTAGACATTGCCAAATCGTCCTCCAAAGAGGTTGTATCAATTTATATTCTCATCACTAAGGCATGAGACTGCGTAAGCCACATTTTCAAAGGAAAAAGTATCCTGAACTTGACAAATATAGTCTATTCCTTGATAAAGATGTGGGTGGCCACCCTAGGCTTTAAGGCAAATCTCTGACAAATCCAGGAAAGGAATCTTTAGGGCTGGGGTTCACTTCCCACTAGGCAAAATTACTTCAAGATCCCAGATCTCCTTCCCTAACTTTTCCTCCTTCAGCTTTCAGTCTGACTCAGAATTTTGCTTTGAATTCTGTTCTTGCAGCTTCTTCCAGGTCCCTTCTCTCTTGCCATGTGGCAGTAGCTTTTGGGCTTCTGAGTGCCCTTCTGGCAAGTTTGCTGCTATTCCAGTGGACTCTGTGCCAGGGTAAGTGCTAACTGAAACCAAGATTTGTGTTATGAAAGCAACATAACATAACAGAAAATTTGAAAAATGAAAAATAATTCCAGCAAAATAAGTCACCACTTGTACACAATAACATTTCCTGGGTATAGTCTCCTAGTCTTTGGGTCCATGCATTTGTGTAAGTATTTATTCTTTTAACAGAATTTCAATCCAGTCCTCTAAAATCTGCCTTGCCTTTCTTTTTCTTCTTACTAAGGTTGGGTCTAGTTCTGATCATAATATGCTTATGATTTTGTATATTACTTTTTAATTTTATGTTGCATCATAAACATTTTTCCACTGGCTGGGTAATGTCACAGTTGTGTGGAAAAAGCACAAATGGATAAGGGGCCAACTTTATAGCTTGATCTCCAGAACCCTATATTGGTCACATGCCATGCCTTCCCATAGAAGGCCTAATCTTTCCATTAAAAAGGACTATGTTCCCCATTTTTAAATTCCTAAATCTAGAATAGATATATAACCTATTCTGCAATTATATATCTACACATGTGCTCATTTGATATAATGGCTCATACTTGGCCATTGTGGAATTGTGCTTATGGTGAGTTTATACAAATATGTTTCATGGAAGTAGAAAATCAATAGAATAATGGAATCTTGGTGGAAATTACCTCGAAAGCTTATTCCATTCCCTTTCATTTTCACAGAACTCTAATCTGACCATTTCAAAGGAATGAGAATGTTCTTAAAAGAACTCAGTGAGGAGAATTGTATCATTTTTCACTTTAGCATCTGATACCCTTCTCTGTCAGAAACTCTTTTTTTTTTTATATTTGAGTAAATTCTTTTTGCTGAAGTATGTCTTTTATCCAATTTCCAATGATGATAGACAATCATATTTGTGATTATAAAAAAAAGAATGACCTTTCATTCTAGTTAAGTTTGCGCTTTTTAGTTTCTGTTTTTTTCTTCTACACTATTATGGGGTGTCAGGTTGAGGTTGGGGTTTCTGAAAGATTCTGCCTTATTTAAGCAATGTACATTATGTAGTTACATTATCTATACCCTGAGCCTATATGGACAGTACGCTGATACATATCATGCAAATGCACAATTATTTTATCTGATATGTATACCACATGTGCATAAAGATCTCTAGCACAAGTAATGTGCTCTCTCCACAGTCCCCAGCAAGACTGTACACATTTCCTTCCCTGCTCCTTCAGTCATAGTCATATCGTTGTCTAGTGAAATGTACAGTAGTAGTGATGGAGTTGGACTTTGTGAGGGCATTTAATTTGAGGCCATGCATTAGTGAGGGTTCAGAATGAATCCCCCAAGATGTACTACTCTGGCATGCAGATTATTTTGAGCTGAAAATAATTGAGGCCCAAAAGTCTTAGGAAGAAACTTTGCCCTTCCTGCTAACTGCCTAAAAGAATTCAGATAGTGGACCTGTTCCAGGAAGGGAGATATCACCATAGATAACTATAGTTTAATATGAACTAGGTGTGGTAGACAGGGAGGAACCTGGCAAGGCCTGTTTGATCCAAGTCCTCTCTGTGTCCCATTGTTTTTGGATGGCCCAGGAAACATTTGTTTACTGAACATTTACCCCTTTCATTCTTCCTGTGAATTGCCTTCCCTTCCAAATCCACCTTCTCATTAGTCTCGAATGATATATATACTTCATTTTGCCTGACTGTCTTTGGAATCTCTCATGTTAATGTGGATTTCCTGTACATATGTAATTAAATTTGATTTTCTGCTGTTAATCTGCCTTATGTCATTTTAATTTGGCCAGCCAAAAGAACCAAGAAAGGAAAGGGGTAATTTTTCCCTTCCTGATACATTGTTGTGCATTTCTCTAAACTTAATCTGAGGTCATGCATTAATAGGCATTCAGAATGAACGCTAGGTAGGGCAGGGAAGACACTGGGATGGCCGTATTCCGTTTTATCTCCCATTTCATCTCCAAGAATGAGTGGTCCATAAAGATGTGAACCAGGTCCTTTTCCTTTCTAGGTTCCAAGTACTCCACTTGTGCCCACTGTCCTAGCTGCCCAGACCTCTGGATTAGGTATGGTGACCACTGTTATTACTTCTCAGTGGAGACAAAGAACTGGACTTCTAGTCTGAAATTCTGCTTAGGCAAAGACTCACATCTCCTCATGTTTACAGACAAGCAGGAAATGGTAAAGGCAAACATTTAGAAAATGTAGCTTGTTTTGTTGGTGAATACTGTGCAAATGTGTCATGCATCTTGTTTTGAGGAGCAAAAGGAATATTCTTCCCTTTCCCTCTCCTTCTCTCTCCTCTTTCTTTCCCTTCTTTTCTCCCCCCTCTACCCCTGCCTTCTTCCCTCTCTTTCCCCACTCCTTATCTGTTCCCTGCCTCACCCCAGCAACCCACAGTTATAGAAACCTAGATGTTTGCATAGGCATATATGTGTGTATATGTGTGTGCTGGAGATAGAAGGATGTGAGTATTACAGAGAGGAATTAAGACCAGAAATGCAGGTCTAATTAAAAGATATATTAGATCCAGAAACATACGTGTCCAACAACAAAGAAGCAGCTGATTCTTATGCAAGAGCCAGTGGACTTGGGAGGGAAGGGAAGAGAGATAGCATGGTGACAAAGAGACCATGCAAGGGCTTAAATGCCTCTTTTAACATTTTTACTTCATTCATTGGAATCCAGTAAGTCCCAGGCTAGGAAACGTTTGCGGTGGAGGATGGGGCATGAGGAGAAAGCAGTTTCAAAAAGTTGAGCAAGAAGGAAGGAAACTGTGTGTGTGTGTGTGTGTGTGTGTGTGTGTGCGTGCATGTGTGATCTTAAACTCCTTGCAGAGCTAAGCTGGTGGGCTCCACTTCCCACAGGACTCTGTTCCTTCCTGTCCACCCGGCAGTCTCCTGGAGGAGAGCTCTTTATTAATCCTAGAGCATCTCAAGTTAATGCAAGGAATTGACATCCTGAGGTAACCTGGTACAAAAATCAATCCAGTTCTAACTTGTCAATGTAAACAACATATACAAAGAAAATAAGATATCCTAGTTAGGTTTTTAGTGCTAATTTCATGCTAATTTTTATGTTTTGATATTGCTTTCTGTAATTTTTTTTTTGGGTAGAATCAAATCACAGAAAACACTTTATTAAGAATTCAACTATATTAACATTCCTTGGGGAATTTTAGAGATGTAATTATTCTAAAGCAGTTGGGGAGAACATATAGAACCTAAATTTTATGTTTTCCTATTTTAAGAAAAGATGAAAGCATCTCAATTCTTGTTTTCTGACAAAGGAATACTCAATCCTTTAAAATTTTGCATAGACTCTAACTCTAAATCAGTCCACCTCTGTGGCTTACTTTTCCTTATTCCTTCCCTAAAGTAGGTGCAGAATGCTTTGGGGTTTGTCATTAGACATATAAAATCTTGGTTTTATGACATCTGTTAATTATAACCTTACTTTCTGGACCTTTTTGCTGCAACTCGTATTCACACTCTGATATAGCTGCATCTGAGGACTTGAGCTGACTGAAGTCAATAGCAGAAGTGAGCAAAGAGCTTGAAGCATTGCTGGGCAAATACTGATAAACAGAGTAGTGAGTCATAATGCAAGACGCTGCTGCCGAGGATTGTGGTGTAGCAGCTACTATAAATTACACAGTGTGATCATGAGATGAGGAGGAAAAGGGCTAAGACACAGAATATCTGGGAGTTGGGGATATTTGTGTTTCTCTGAGGTCTCCCAGAGGAATGTAGTAGTATTAGAGATATTTTTCCTTTCCTTTCTTTTCTTCACTTTCCCTGAATCCTGCCTCTATTGCTGAGTAAGCTGCACAGAGTTAGATTGGCTACATTTCCAAAACTGGTTTATTTCCTCTTAAGGTCCGTTAACTCAAGTCAGGACTGGAAAGGGTAGAATATCCCTGATGGATTTAATAGTGACCACAGATAAGTTTTGCTTCTGACATTCCTGTGGAATCTTGCTTGGTTCTCTGGCCTAATTCTTTTTCTTCTCCTCAGCCTTTGTCAGATTCTGGAGAACCAGCTTGACTTATATCTGATCTGCTGATCCTCTTGTACTGGTGGTGTTATTTTTTTGTTCTCAAGGCAAGATTTATAACCTATTTGAAGATATGCTTGATATTCCTAGTATCATCCTTAGGTTTGAATAGCTACCAAAAGAGTATATGGATCTATTAAAACAAGTTTTTCAAACTGGCATTCTACTGGTGGAGAATACTGCTAGGAAGTTAAGTTGGTATATGCTAGAGGCTACAAGGCTAAAGAAGTATACCTCTCATGCTGTTAAATAGTCTTCTTTCAGTAAGATACATATATATAATCGACCTCTATCTTTGATCAGTTATAGCAAAGTACGTAATAACAATCTACCCCTAAGAATCTAAGAATAGAAACTACCATGTATTGAGAACCTGCTGTGTGCCAGGTATTTTATGTATATTATTCTTAATCTTAACAGCATATCTATAATGTAGAACTCCACATCCCCATTTCACTAAGGAGTGAGTAAAATTCAGAAGAGATAATGAGCAAGTTCAAGGCTACAGATCTGTCAGAGCCAGTCTTTCTTTTTCAGAGCCAGATTTTAAAATCTACTTCAGCCCACCTTTTAAAGTCACTTACAGAAATATTGTATTTGACGAGCTTCCAGGATCTATCTTGTGGATGCTGAAAAATGAGATAACTTTTCCTATTAATTGTCTTCTGGTGGCTTTTCTTTTCTATAGATGTTTTAAAAATTATTTGAATTTGAAATCTGGAAGGTTCATTATATGGCTGTTGGGATTTAAATATATTTAAAATAGCTAGATGCTCACTTATCTCTTTTTCTATCTTGGACTTCAAGATTTATTTTATTTTTGAGAAAATAAAAACAAAATTGAAATTGAATTGCTCTGTTATTTCCTCATTTTTCTCTTTACATTATTGCATCCGCCCTTTGTTATTCTTTTTGCTCTTTGAATTTATCTTTAGGTCTTTATATATATTCAAATTCTTAGCATTTGTTTCTTATAGTTGTTAGTGTGTTATTCTAAAATCTATGTTGACTAGAGAATTTCCTGTAGAAATACTTTGGTTTCCCTCAATCTATCCTGATGCTCTTCACCCCACAGTATCTTTCTTCTTTATTATCATAATTTGAGATTATATCATCAGACTCTATTGTTTTAACAACCACTCATTAAACTATAACCATCTTCCCTATTAGAGTTTATGACTGGGATTGTCCCTGTGTTCTCTCTGAACTTTTGATATTGGCTTTTCTTGTATTTAGGGCTTACATCTAATTATATCTGAAATTTCCTTCTTTGGATACTGCAATGCAAATGCTATGGTAACTGTCACTTTTCCCCATATTTTACAGTAGAATCAGGTAATGGAAAGGGCTTAGTTTCTTTTAGACATTCATGAATTTGTTTTTACTACATTGCTTACTAGCTATGTGAACTTCAGCAATTTTCTTAACCTCTTTGACTCTCAATTTCCCCCCGTACAAAGGGGAAAAAAACTTCCCAGAATTGTTATGAATATTAAATGAAAAAATCTATCTGGAAGTTCCTTTGACATAGTAGGAATCACTTAATTTTAGTTTTTCTTCTTTTCCACTTGAACTAATTCTCCTTGTTGCTCAGAATACAGCTCAAAGTCAAAATAACTTTTGTTTTTCTCTTCTGTCTCCTAAGACATGAAATTTCAGTAAAATATGTATCACAGAGAAATTTGACTTGCTGAATTTAGTATTTCTCTTATAGGAAATCTGAAGTGGTATGTCAGAAGATTGAAAGAAATGTCTGGAAACACAGGGTAGATGGTAGGAGAATTATTTTACTCTGGAGGTCTTTGTAGTCTGGTAATATGTCTTTTGTCATCCTTCCTTCATAAGCAGATCAAGCAACCAATGTGACTTTCACACCAAAGTGTTGGTGTAGGATGTAGGTTAGGATATCTCTCACTATCTTTTTTTTTTTTTTAACTTTAAAAAAATTGAGGTAAAATCTTCATAACATAAAGTTTACCATTTTAACCATTTTCCAGTGTACAATTGACATTAAGTATATTCACATTATTGTGAGATCATCACCAGTATTCATCTCTAGAAATTTTTCATCATTCCAAACTGAAGCTCTGTATCCATTAAAAAACAACTCCCCTTCTCTCTTCCTGCCAGCCCCTGGTGACCACTGTTCTGCCTTTTGTCTCTCTGAATTTGACTATTATGTCCTTTTGCATCTGGCTTATTTCACTTAGCATATTTTCAAGATTCATCGGTGCTATAGCATGTATCAGAATTTCATTCCTTTTTATGGCTGAATAATATTCCATTATATGGATATACTGCATTTTGTTTATCCATTCACCTGTTGGTGGGAAATTTTTCACTGTCTTTTAAAGACAGTGCTCTAGTTTACAGAGCAAGTCTTATTTGCTTTTAGTATTGTACACATACACAGAATTATAGGGAAAATTTGTATCAATATTAAATTGTAGTAATTTGTAGCCTATCAAATTTCCCTTTGAAATCTCTTAATGTATGTGCACGTTCTTATATGATAGTAATCAATGTTTACATGCTACAGGATATCTGAAAAGTTTGGAAACACAGGATAAACTTATTTTTAAACAGTATGTTAGATACATTTTCAACTAATATACTCAATGTGTTTTTATTAAACCTCCAGAAATATTTTCAGGTGAAATACCTTTAAATTTAAAGCTATGGATTCCAATTGATTTTAGACTTCATGGGTGCTCTGTAATGTACTTTTTTCAAATTAATAACTGCATTCATTGGTTTAAACTTCACCTGAAAAGGTGTCTGGAGATTGAAGAAAAACATATTAATGATATGATTTGAAAATATAACAGACATACTATTTAAAAATACATTTATCCGGGGCCAGCCTGGTGGCATAGTGGTTAAGTTCATGTGCTCTGCTTTGACGGCCCAGGGTTTGTGGGTTTGGATACCAGGTGTGGACCTACACACTGCTCATCAAGCCATGCAGTGGCAGCACGCCACATATAAAATAGAAGAAGATTGGCACAGATGTTAGCTCAGGGGCAATCTTCCTCAAGCAAAAGAAAAGAAAAAAAGACATTTATCTTAAGTTTTTAGGCTTTTAGGACAGCCTGTCTTTATGTGCTGCTTTTATCACATAGTAT